GGACACGGACAACGACGGACAATCACTCATATGATAAGCTCCGCTCGACAAAGTCGACAGCGCAGCTAAAAACATAAAGTTAATTCATACATGCCTGAGATCCGGTTATGGAGAAGGTAATAATTGCTTGATTTTGGTGTATTTTTCCACCCAATATGATTACTGGGTTACTTAATGTATGGCACATACATAATAATACTTAACTATAAATTTGAAATTGCACTAAATTTTCCCGGTACTCGTAGAATTTTAATACATACACTATGTTCAAATTAAATATTAAGCTTAATTTATCACCCATCGTCATAGATCACATTTGGTTAATATCAATAGTATAATAATATAATCAGTCAGATGTACCATATGCTGCATGGTTTTGTAAATGTATATTGCATGCCCATATCAAGTTCATTCATTTATGATTTGTATGGTAACACAATGACAGCCATATACACAAAGGCCCCCGAAGTTACTGGATCTGATCACAGACATGTGTTAGTGATTATACGATGCATGTTTCTTTATTAGTTTCAGTGTTTACCAAGATCACCAATGCAACGAAACCATAGTCTAATTGTTTTAAACAATTAATTAAAAAACCTGAAATTTTAGACCATATCCTATAATTTTTGTAGTTACACATCCCATAACTCAAGGATTTTCATAAAGGACTTTAAATTAAATAAATTGCATGGTTCAAAATAAATTATTAAGTCACAAGGAATCAGTATTAATCACAATTGTGCATTGTAAATAAATTGTGTTAAAATACAACTACAAATATCAGATGTGAATTTAGTATGAAAATATTATTTCACTCAGTACACAGACTTATGCAAATTAATATGTAAATTAGTTCCATATATGGTAGACCTAAAATTAATAATAAATGTAAAAAATGTAATAAATGTAAACAATAATATAAAAAACATTGTTTATACCATGCATATGTATTCTGTCAACATTTACACAAATAAAGTATGATTTAATTTACCTGAAATTTTTTTTGTTTTTATTAAAATATTATTATTCATTGAAGGAATAAATGACACATACGGATCACTAAACAATTGAGTAATGAAAATATTCTGTAAGTAACTGAATACATTGACAGCTGTGACTTGGCATGGTATCACTGGCACTGTAAGCTCAATGGTAAATGTGTTCCTAAATGTAATTTTGATAAATGGACACGTTCCAAAAATATTAAAAGTCTTCTATCTACAACTATTAGTACTAAGGCATTTATTTCTTACAGACCAAATACAACATTTGCTCTACTGGGTCAAAAAAAAATCTGTTTCTGGGTAAAGTTTTTTAAAATATATCATTAACTACTTCCAAGGGCAGCCTTTGGAATGTACGTGATGGTCAACCAGTAAAAGATATTTTTTTATTTTTGGGTTAGAAGTGGATTATGTAAATGGCACTATACATGCAACTAC